TTCTCTGTGAAATCGAATGGCCAAAAAATTTTTTTTTCTGCAAATATGAAAAACTTGCTGTTCCCGATGTCAGAAATGTCCCCAAATTTTATTAGAATTTTTGGGACCATCTATCACTCTTTTTCAGGGGCCCGAAGTTGGCCATTTTAGGGTTTTTTTGAAATTCATGAAAAATCACAAATATTCAAATAATTCCTGGATCAGGGTAGAATGATTCAAAAGTAAAAGTGCCCAGCAACTTTTTTGTTGGAAATTGTCCAAATTTTCAGAAAAAAAATATGCCAAAGTGATTGGAACAATCTAGGTAAGTGTAAAGCAAAAAAACTGCCAAAGGGACATAAATGATGAAATCTAATCGAGTTCGAACCGGACTTTCATTTCCTAAACTATGTAAAAAGCTTCCCAAAGATGTCAACTACTGCCTGATAAAGTTTTGTAATGGGTCTTAAAGTTTAACGCAATGTAGACAACAATGTGTGGCGAAAAACATGCAAAAAAGGTCAAAAATAGGCCCAAAATGCCTAAAATCACCAAAAACAGCCATTTTCAGGCCTTTTTTGCATGTTTTTCGCCACACATTGTTGTCTACATTGCGTTAAACTTTAAGACCCATTACAAAACTTTATCAGGCATTAGTTGACATCTTTGGGAAGCTTTTTACATAGTTTAGGAAATGAAAGTCCGGTTCGAACTCGAGTAGATTTCTTGTTTTATGTTTTTTTTGCAGTTTTTTTGCTTTACATTTACCTAGATTGTTCCAATCACTTTGGCATATTTTTTTTCTGAAAATTTGGACAATTTCCAACAAAAAAGTTGCTGGGCACTTTTACTTTTGAATCATTCTACTTTAATCCAGGAATTATTTTAATATTTGTGATTTTTCATGAATTTCAAAAAAACCCTAAAATGGCCAACTTCGGGCCCCTGAAAAAGAGTGATAGATGGTCCCAAAAATTCTAATAAAATTTGGGGACATTTCTGACATCGGGAACAGTAAGTTTTTCATATTTGCAGAAAAAAAAATTTTTTGGCCATTCGATTTCACAGAGAATCGGCCATATATATACTCGACCGCTTGTCTCGAGAGTTATTTTGTACATCTGCGCGGGTGAAGCAGCAGCAGCAGCATCTATGCAATTACTTTGGGAAAAATTTGACGCGAATGGCACACGAATGTTGTTTTCGATCGGTCGGGGGCCGGCTTTTAACTGCCTGACTTCGTTTGATTGGGTGTGGATGTATAATAAATGCGTTGATGTCTGAATCGAGAGGGGCGCGCGTTTGATGCAATTTTTTTTCTACGCGTATCAACGAGAACGGCTCAATTAGAGAAGATTGTGCAATGCTCTTTTCGCGGCGCGTAAAGTACAACTATATTGAAATTATTTTTATGGAATATATTTCTTAAAAATATACTATACATGATGAAACTGTTGTAATCGTGGGATCTAAAGCAAATATCTCACATTATTTGAAGAAAAAGGTTAAATTTCATACGGATTTAATGTGACGTTGAGGTAAGCTGATAATGAAATTTATTTGATTTACTTCTGCTTAAAATCTTCGTTGACAATTGATTTATCGGTACTGTTTATTTGGCAAACTGCACAAAAATTACATGAAAATTCAATCATATTATGTTTCGTCCCAAGATGAACAAAAAATCAATTCTATATTTAAATTTGAAAATTTCGATTGAAATTTATCAAAAAAATGTATGAAACTTCAGCCATCGCTTGAGTCAACATTCACCGCTAGATGGCGAGTACCTTTATTTGTAAATCTGCAAGTGGCAAAGTCAAACTAACTGTATAATTCGTTCGTATAATTCGTATTCGTAGAATATTGAAGCCAGCAGATTCAACTCAATTTAAAAAAAAAATTAATTGTATTGACGTTTTTTCTTTCGAATACAAATACGACTAGTTCACAAGTTATGCTGTGAAATAAAGGTCAATGTGGATCAAATTTAAAGGAATTTTAGAAATATTTTCAAAATCATTTTACAACATAGAAGTGCAATTATTACGTAGCTTAGACACTCAAAAGTAGATCGCTCTTGACAAGTAATCTCACGTTAATTCGATAATCCGAATTGAGTAAAAGCGCATCTTAAATTTTTTCAACTTATCGAAAGAAAAATGCTCAATCAAGGCCCCATTGTGAATTCGGAATTGCTCGCGAATCGTTCCTGAAGAGCAGCAGTCAAAGTGCACACACACACAAGAGACGACACAGATAAAACATCGCGCGCGCGGCTCCTCGTCGCGGTCGTTGCATAAGCGCGGAGAAAGAGACGCGTGAAAGTAAAGTCGCAATACGTATAACATATATAGGTATGTATGTGTACGTGCTCCACAGGACTACACACACAAACACTCATACATACATACGTACTGTATGGTGAAAAGACTGATTTTGCTGGCGCTGCTGCATCGAGCACTTTTACTCGTATACGTACGCGAATAATAGATAGGTACGATAAATTTTAGAAGAAAGAGAAAGATTAAAATGTCAATTGATTGACAGGAAGTGATGTAGGAATTGAGCGACGGCCAAGATCGTTACGTGTGTAACATCGTAAAGCACGAGGAGTTTTTTTCTTTGCTTCTGAATCGAGCGTGAAATTATTCCATTTGTTTAATTAGTAGGTAATTGCTTGCAAGTTATTTTCTATTAACGTTAAAAGAAAATATCTTAAATTTTATGCAGGATTAACGTAACGATAAACAATCGCGTATAAATTATATTTCAATGCAATGTTGAATGAAAAATAGTTTGTATTCGATCGAAAATTAAAGCCAATCTACGCCACTAGATGGCGAGTACCTCTATATCTGTAAATCTGCAAGTGGCTGAGTCAAAATAATTGTATAACTACAACACCAGATACACCCTCGCTTATCCACGTGGTAATCGCATCTCACAATTCATAACAAACGTGAAGTTGTCGCAGTATAAAGAGGCAACGACTCGAGGAAAAAAAAAGGTCAAAAGTGAAAAGAGGCTAAATCACGCACGCCTGCATAAATATCATTTTCTCCCTGACCATACCAATGCAAAATATATTGAAGCGTCCGAGATCGGCGAACAACGAGACGAATCGCTCCTCGAGCTGTTTCGCCCGTGTCGAAACTGGCGAGGGTCGTCGCTGCCGAATGTCCGTCGAATCTTCTCGGAGCGAGAGATCGATTACAACACGGTGGCGGATGATAACGACGGCGAACGATTCATCCGGTTCGTGGGCTACCGAGACGAGCCGGAGGTGGTGTTCAATGGGCCGTGGCGAATCTCAAGCGCGAGCTGTTCGAGTTACTCGCCAATCGGGGCGCCGACCTGTCCAAGTTCGTATATCCCACCGAGTGTTACATCCACGAAAATTACGACGACGACGACGACCACATCAGAAAATTGAGCCTGGCCTCGATCGCCATGGATGTCTCTGTGCGGCTCGAGAGGGAGGGACGAGGACGCCGATCTTCGTACGACGACGAGACGTTCGCCAAGAGAGCCAAAGGGGTACGACGAGCGATTTCGGGAACTCGCAGACGAGTCGCGCAACGCCTGTATCAGACACGTGTGCGAGAAGATCATCGAGCCGCGATCGAATCGAGATCTGTGGCGCGTTTGCATGGCGGCTCAGGGATAAGGAGTGACTTTTTGAAGGTTTATGAATCGAGGACGTAGAAACTGAAATAACTTTGTCGCAGCTCTAATAATAGAATAGAATAGAAAATAGAATATTAATGAAAATGCAATCATAACAGTATAACACATAAATTTGCAATTATAACAACATTCACTTTGAAAATAATATCCGACTATCGAATTACATCGTGGCGAGCTTAAATCAAAACACTAAACTTCATTACGAGTGTCAAACGCGACGATGTACCAGCTGTGCATCGGATATACCGTATCGGCCATTCGTTCCAATTACACGTTTAATTTACGCGCGCACACGCATAGCTACATCGCGTATAAATAATAAACGCATTTATTGTGTCAAAGCTCCTAATTGCCACTTTTCAAATTTTTCGTTAATATACGAGACGGTACTTATTCATCGGCGATACTTGCTGCTGTACACGGTGAGTAATTGATACTTGCACACCGACGTCGGAGAGGCTTTTGATTCATTCCGCTCGAAAGTTTAGTTAATTTATCATCCTATCGTCCATGTGTATAGCTCGTACTGGTGCAGCGAATCTTTTTTTTATCGTCTTTTTTATTTGGCAGCTTTTTAGGACTCAATTATTTAACGTTAAATCGAGTGGGATAATTATAAGTTTAAATTACTGTCGCGAAATTGTTTTAAGATAAGCCGTATAATGGAATCGATCCTTCGATACGAGAGTCCACTTTGACTTTCACTCTGGATACTTTGTCTCGGCGCGACTTCTTGTTTATTCTAGCGATCGAAAAATTCATAATTGTAGATACTGTTTCGACCATTCGCGAGATGCAAATGTGGTGGCTTGAAAACTCTCCCTTTTTTACGCACTCGTAACAATGAGCATTTGATTTTTACTAGATCGTAATCTGAAAAAGCTCAAAAGTACAAGGTCGATTATTTCGGAATCGAATCGGACGAGCTGTGCCATATTTTTGTTTTGGTCCCGCTAGTTCGCTCGATGCACGAGCGCGAGCCCGCGCGCGTTTATATGCGCGCTTACGTCATTTCCGTCAAGGAGAGAAATTTAATGGACGCGCGCGCGCCTATTTGCTTTCGCTTTTTCCATTGATACATTGCATCTTCACTGCCAAAGGCAACGAAGACGAGAGGAAAGTTCATTCAAGTTCATTCGTTGCTTTGTGCATGAAAAAATCGGCACTCGTGTGGCGGAGGAGCCTATAGGCCTCTGCGAGAGAAATAATTCACCGGTTAACGGATTTCCGTCGTGTCGATTAAATGATCGATTTTGAAATTATTCGCGATTCGCCTCGGAATTGTTTCCGTTCTCAAGACTTAATGGATCATTTGTCTTTATCTTTTGCAGAGCTGCAAAATGAAGCTTTACGCGTTTGCGATCGTCGCGCTGCTGGCGAGCGCCTCCGCGGCCGAAGAATCTCCGGCGGACGTCATGGCTCGCAACATCTTGGAATGGATACAGGGCATCTATCGCCAAGGAGTACGAAAAAGTAAGCGCTCTCAGGGTCTCTCGCTTCTTTCAACGATGCGTAATCCGATTTTTTTTTTCTCTCTCCCACCCCACCCAGCTCGTCAGCAGGAGCAGCCGAACGCCTATCTACCGCCCTACAGCACCCAACGTCCGCCCGAGAAACCTCGGCCTTTCCAGCCGGCCTCGACGCAGCCACCGGCTTTCTCCAACAATCCGAGCCAGAACGAGGTCTCGGGCGCTTTTCCGGACTACGGCGGCGCACCGGCTTACTCTCCGCCGGCCACCGGTCAGCCGAATTACAGTCCCAACAGCGGCGGTGGCTCCGGCTACCAGAGTCCGCCGCAGTACGGCGGCGGTTCGCCGACCTCCACGACCTACCTGCCTCCGCCGAGTCAGCCGCCGAGCTCCGGTGGCACCGGCTATCCGTATCCGTCGCCGGGCAACAGACCCACGCCCGGATTCCCGACGCCCACGAGGCCGACGCCCGAGCCGCCGAGACCGACTGCCACCGGTGAGATTTGATTTGGTATCGATTACTTTATTCGAAACGGACCATGCACTGAGAAAAAAAATTCATTGATTCAATGAAAATTTAATTAACTACAATCTGTGAAATAATTTCATTGAAATAATCTTTTTTTCTTTAGTTTCATGAAATTTTCAACAAAATATTTTGTTGTTTTTACCAAAATTTCATGAAACTAAAGAAAAAAAGATTATTTCAATGAAATTATTTCACAGATTGTATTTAATTAAATTTTCATTGAATCAATGAATTTTTTTTTCTCAGTGTGGGGTAGAACCCCGTTTGGCCCTGGCAGAATAATTATTTACAGGTTTAGAAAAATTATTATGTACAAAGGTAACGAGTATACGTTGCAAGTTTAAACGTTCAAAATGGAGAATAAGAAAAAACTATTCACAATTTTAACGAGTAGACGTTCAAAGTTTAAGCATACAAATACAGGTTGCAAAGATTGGCAGATTGTATAAGAGTTGAGTAGCTCTCTATGAGATGAAGAGTGAGTTTGTGAGGGAGGGTGGAATGAAAGAGAGAGAGAGAGAGCGATTTAAGTTATAAACCGAGCGAATTCCGCAAAAAATCTCAAGTCGCTAAGCTCAAAGAAAAAATCGCACAGTTGTACATTCAAAAATTTGATAGGTATTGGCTGTATAAGATTTAAGCCCCCGTGATGACCAAAATGATCGTGAAAAATTCCAAAAAAAGTCGAGGATGTTGTTTGATCGATTCCAAGACAATTTTGTTCTATTAATTTTTCTTCTTAAAATATACTACATTATTATTTCAATGGTTAGACCAGAAAATTTTTTTCTCGTAAAAAATGTCTTGGAATTGATCATGAAACAATTTACAACAATTTTTATGATGATTTCGGTCGTCGAAGGGTATAAATCTTTTTACAGCTTTTTCCCAATTTTTTGAGCTTTGCGACTCGAGATTTTTTTTCGAAAGATAGATTTACGTTACGATACACGTTAACCGATTGTTTTTCGTGAAGGATCGATATCGTACGATACAGATCCAACTCCGAGACCGGGAACGACACCGAATCAACAACCAACAAATGCTCAAGAACCTTCTTCGCCTTCGTCTCCTGCTCAGAGTGAGAAAATAAATTAAAAAAAAATTTTTTAGTGATGTACAGTAACACGACGTTTATGGATTTGTTTTAATTTCAAGCACCTGCACCGACCCCCGGACCTACCGAGCCAACGCCGACCGAAGAAACCGAGGCGGGACCGGCCCCCGGACCTGGACCGGCTCCTGGACCTGAACCTGGACCCGCCCCCGGTGCGTAATTAAAGTTTTTTCAAGCGCTGCCTTTATATAAAAGAGTAATTTTATCTTAACTTTTAATCTTAACTTTTGAAGGGCCTGAAACTGGCAATGAAATCGTTCCCGGCGGACCGAACAAAGAAAAAGAAGACGACGACGAAAAGCATCCGCCTCACATTCATAGTTTGGAAGTGCAATGTACGAAGACCATGATGACGATCAATATCGAATTCAATCGTGCTTTCAACGGTGTGATCTATTCCAAGGTAACAGAAAAGAATTAATTCGTTCTATGAACATAATTGCCGAGTAGAAAAGTAACACCGATGTATTTTCAGGGCTTTTACGCGATGCCGCAATGCCGATACGTGCAAGAGAACTCGAACCAGATCAAGTACACCTTCACCGTCAATCTCGACTCTTGCGGCACGCAGTTCATCAATGATTTCGCGGGCGAAGCCGGCCAAGCCTACCTGGAAAACGTCTTGGTCTTGCAAGTAACGTATCGAAGCTCGTTAATTTTTCAATATTTTTCTCCTTCGAATTTTCTAAAATACGCCGTTTTTATCGTTTGGCCAGAACGAGCCGGGTATACAGGAAGTGTGGGACACCGTGCGCTCGGTGCGCTGCCTGTGGGAGGGCAACATCAACAAGGCGCTGATGGTCAGTCTGTCGGTGGACATGCTGAATCAGGAGATCGTGACGTTCAGCGGCGACACGGCCACGGCCAAGCTCGACATCCAGGTGGGCAAGGGGCCGTTCGCGCCGGCCGCCAACGGCCTCGTGAAGATCGGCGAGACGATGACGCTGGTCGTGTCCGTGGAGGGCGATCCGGGCTTCGATTTGCAGGTAAATTTTTCATTTCTGGTATTTTTTTTTTTTTTTTTTTTTTTTTTTTTTTTTTTTTTTTTTTTTTTTTTTTTTTTTTTTTTTTTTTTTTTTTTTTTTTTTTTTTTTTTTTTTTTTTTTTTTTTTTTTTTTTTTTTTTTTTTTTTTTTTTTTTTTTTTTTTTTTTTTTTTTTTTTTTTTTTTTTTTTTTTTTTTTTTTTTTTTTTTTTTTTTTTTTTTTTTTTTTTTTTTTTTTTTTTTTTTTTTTTTTTTTTTTTTTTTTTTTTTTTTACGTAAATTCGTTACTTTCGTATAGGTGCGAGATTGTATCGCGAGGGACGAGTCGTCGACCAACATCTACAAGCTGACGGACGAGCGCGGCTGCATACTGAAGCCGAAGCTGTTCGGCGCCTTCCAGACGACCAAGGAGACGGGCAACACCGGCGCCTCGGTCATCGCCTACGCCTTCTTCCAGGCTTTCAAGTTTCCCGACGTCATGGATCTGTTTATCGAGTGCAACGTCGAGCTTTGCAAGACGAATTGCGAGCCTTGTCCCGAGGCCAATCAGGTACATAAAGCTCCGTTTTCAATTTTATTTGTTTTGTTTTTTTCCACGAGTGAACTTTTGATAGGCTAGAAGCTGAGGTATGTCGAGTAATTAGAAAATATTACAAGTGAAAAGAAAGAAGTTTTGTCGATTTCTCGACGACAATGTTAAATTTTTCAACTGTTAAGAAAATCAATTGGCAAAAAAAGTTTATTCGTTATGAGATCAAAATTAATTCTATCGCTTACCAACGAGTTGTAGAAATTTTGGAAATGGCCATAATAAGTCAAAATTCGAGCTGCAAAAACTTTATTACGTACAAAAAAATACATCGTTATCTCACTAATCTTGAGTTTAATAATAGTGACTAATAGTCATTCGTAAAAATTTGTCAAAAAATACCATTCTTGGTTCACATAGGACTTAAACTTAATTGAAGTTTATAAGTTTCACATTGAGTACATAAATGTAAATATAATATACGTATATAATTTACGTAAATATAATTATTTAACAATTTGTGATTTCATGAGATAATAGTGACCCGAAGAGTCTGGTATTTTTTTAATATAAAACAGGGTAAAGTGAGATTTGAGTTATTTTTTAACTACATAATAATCATAATTAATTATCGTTATAATTAATCATAATTGATTAACGTAATTTACAAATTTTTAGCCCGTTTCATTTATTTTGTCGCTCGATACGGAGCGTTTTTTTGAAATTACGGCGAAGACTTCTTTCTAATACAGCGCGTAGAAATAAATGAAAATTTTTAATTTCGACTCTTGATACGTATTCTTGGGTTGTTATGAAAGTGAATCAACGTTGCTCACATTGTCATGCAATGAAGGCTGCCAAACAAAAAAAAACGATAGAAAAAAAATTATTTTTATCAATCATGGCTCATTAGTGAAATCTGCAGTTATTAGATATAAATCGAAACTGAATTTTACGCAAGCAAGAAGCATCGAAACAATGAAACGATTTGATTTTCGCATTTCAACACAAATACGCTCTCCCCAGACTCAAAATCTAAATTTCTTCAAATGATTTATCCTTAACGCCAAAAAAAAACAAAATTCATATTTACCTGATATAGACTTATGCACTGTGAAATTCAAGTGCATCAGAACTTGATAGTCGACGATAGTCGATAGTCGATCAGACTCGTTACATTGCGCTGCCAAATTAAGGAGATACTTGAAGGATTTGTATAAATTAAAAACTGTCTTATAATATTTGATACTAGGCAATGTAAACAAAGTTGGAAAATTCTGTTCGTAGCTCTGACGCCACCAAGGATAAAATGCGAATTGTATTCTGTACCCAACGTTGTAAGTTGTGCCATTGGCTTCCAAGAGGAGTCTATTGTCAGCAATTTGGTGGTCGAATTGCATACCGTCGTGTCGCTCGCCGTACATTATCCTGTAGAACCTGTAATTTTTCGGAAAATCGGAATCGACGGGATTGTTCATGAACTGCAAAAATAGCTCCCACCCCAGAAGCGGACCTAAATTCTCCCATCCCGAGCACGAAATCATGTGGCAGTGCACGGATATGACTATGCCCATTTTTTCGTATAAAAGAGCTCGATCTGCCTCGGGGACCGCCTGCTCCACGTGAGCGGTGCAATCGACCCATGCTCTTACTGAATGTTCCGGATATATGATATCCGGATATAATATTAAGTGTTCCATCTTGGTCGAGATAAAAGTTTTCACCAACGTGTGCGTACAGAATAATATTTTACGTCGCTTTTATTATTCCTACGATAGGAGCAAGACTGAGGTACTCGCTTACACGTCGATTTCAAAAGGAGCGACAGTCAAAACAAAACAAATTCAACGTGTTCGGAATCGACTTGATCAAACTAGAGCATTCGTTAATTTTCATTGATGGATTATTATTAATTTTCAATTTTTAATTTATTCTTTTTTAAACAGAAGCATCTATAATACGCCGTATAACTTTTGTTTTGTTAACTTCACTTGATGAATGTTAATAAATGTAATGCAATCCTACTTTACCCTTAGCTAAGCTCATTTTTTCAAAGCATCTCGGTTCATTCTCTGAGAACAATTGCATTCGATAAATATCACGTTCAAACTTGTATCTATGAAAATTAAAAGTTCATCTTGTAACAAAATAATAATAATAGACAGAAAATTTATTGATAGAAAAACAGAGTAAATGATCAAGAATTTGTCGGGGCTCAAGTCTATAATTGAATTATATAATTGAGGTATTTATTCAATTGAAAAAAATCTGTTAATAATCAATATGGCAATTAATAAAAACGTCAGTGAGTTGAGAAGCTTTCGCTTACTCCCAAGAAAATTTTATGATTTTGTCGATAGTGAATTTCAGAGCCAGATGTCGTTGGATAGTTTAATTAAAATTTTTAGGAATTATATTTTAGTCCAGTATTTCAAGTGTTTTTTATTGAAAATATGAGAATCGATGACAAAAATGTAGAGTCACCTACCCAGTGATTGAAAACGCACCAGTGAATGAAACTTTATTTATAAATTAATATAATTTAATTATACTGAACTAATTCATCGGTAGTGAAATTTTATAATATAATTGAGCATTAATACTAAATATTTCAATAGTTTTTAACGACTTTCTGAATATATTATCATTTATTATAATGGTTTCATTTACTGGTAAAAATGTTTCATTCACTGGTGCATCGTGTACTTTTTCCCTTATTTTATGAATGAAAGTTGAAAGTAAAAATTCTGCAAAAATTTAAATCAGTAGAGAAAGACATTTTCTATTATAATCCATCTGAATAATAGCCTTTAATTTATGAAAAACGTTGATTTGAACTAAATTTCAGCAAACTTTTTTGAAACCTTTCATTCACAGGTTAACTATCAACCTTTTTCACATAGGATAAGAATTTTTTCGTCTTGAAATAGAATAATATATCATTTATCTTATTGATCTAAAATAATTCAGAAATCAATCAATTAACTCGTGAACTGTTTACACAGCAAATCGAACCCGGCCGAAAGAAGCGCTCGGTCTCGTACACCTATCAGAACTGGACGAGGGATCCCCAGGGCGAGTCGATCCGCGTGGGCCAACGCTTCCGAGTCGTGTCGAGCGACGATCTGCCCCATCGTAATTCCGGACCGGTCCTGCAGGTGCCCTACGACGATGCCCCCAGCGACTACGAGGATCAGCAACAGCAGCAGCAGCAGATCTTGAGCCAGCTGCCGGCGACCACGAGCGGAACTATGAGCGGTGGCAACGTCTGCCTGAGCTACGTCGGTTTTTACTCGGCCTCGGCCACCATCCTCGTGGCGCTGGCCGTGAGCAGTCTCAGCGCCGTGCTGCTCTACTCGAAACTGCAACGGCTGAAGTACGAGAAGACCCTGGACATGCCGAGGTGCTCGTGAAACAATCGAAAAGGAGTAAATTGCAATTATAAAGAATAAAAAAAAAAACACAAATTAGTAATCTTATAAAATAACAACTAATGAATCGTGGAGCGTTGTAACGATAATTTACGTACGAGCTGTTTTGTAAAAACAATGCGAGATTCGTGAATAATTGTCAAAAATTATTGTAATACGAATGAATTTTACGTTCGTGGCTCAAAAGAATATCACGTATATTAATAATACTCATCGAGAATTATCTTTATCATGTAATTACCGAATTGTAGGTGTATGTTACCGATTGTTACATGTTACCAATATGTACATATGTATTAGATCGACAGCAACTTTCCAGAGTATGTGGGAGCTTCGCTTTGGACTGTTAGATCGACGCATTATTATTAATTTGATAAAAAAGTACGAGAAGAAAATTTAAAAAAAATGCAACTATTTTCTACCTATTTTAAAATAATAGTTACGAACAATTAAGCATTCCACATGGGTTCTTTTACGAGTTTGAATTTTTTCTTTGTAATGGTACTGCATCCATCTAAGAGTCGCACGAATACTCTTGAAAGTTGCTGTCGGTATAATATATTTTTATTTAATTATGAAAAAAATTTATACTTATAAGTGTACATTTTTAAATGTGTAAAAATGTTAAACGAGTATTAAATATCAAAATCAAATTTTCATCTGCGTACGAAAAAAATTTCATTCAATCCGACTCATTTAAAATCATCGTAAAAAAAAAAAGAAAAATTATCGATATCATCCGTCGTTGGTAAATTGCTTCTATACGTTTGAAAATATTTTTACCGACTCTCGTCCCATGCTCGTGTGTAGATATTTTACTACCGTTACAACAAGATGTTTGTCGTTCTTCAACAAATATTTTTCCTGAAGTGTTTTCAAAGAATAGTAATTCCAGTCATTGCTTTGCGTGCATATTATTTATCACAAAATGTCAGCCTAAAATTACAAGTACCATTGAGTGACTTTTTATTTTCTTATAATGTATCGATAATTTCACTGCCGATCGATGATCTACAATAATTCAATAAGATTAGAACCAATACGTGTCGTGCCTTCGTACTCATACTTTTGAGTGCATGTTCACATTTTAAAGTGTATTTATATCTAATGAAACATTGACTCATCTCTTAGTGTCAGGCCCCTCGCGCGAGTCCCCACTCCATCTCGATTATCGACAGCTGCGCGCCAGTCGAGTCACCAAAAAATATATATAGCAGCAGCGCCTCCGTGGCAAATAAAACGACTCCGGTCGCGCCGAGTTTGTAAATATATACTATGTGAACAGCGGCGATAAGCTTCGCACGTGTTTCGTCATTTCGAACGAGAGCAGCGGTCGTTACAGTCAGTATTATAGCAGACGCCGATCGAGCAACAGCAGCACACCGCATCGAGTGTTCCGAGTTGATATTTTCTTTTTCTTTTTTTTTTTTGTCCTGTGTTTTGTGTTCATATCCGAAATCGGGAAGATGGCGAGCGTCAAATCGACGAATAACGCTCACGCGGAGAACGAGAAGTTGATCAAGGAGGAGATCATCCCGAACCTGGTGCACGATCGCTTCTTCTGTCCGCCAGGCTCGCGCGAGTTCGTCGAGCTGCTCTCGGTGAAGGTCGAGCCCTGCGAGAACACCGTCGACAAGTACAAGTGCTGCATCGTGCTCGAGTTCTCGGGCGAGCCGCGCACCCTCTACTACACCTGCGACACCAAGTTCAGCGACGACTCGGACAGGCAGACGGAGAGGAACAAGTTGCACAGGATGCTGATACCGCGCTATCCGAAGCTCGACATCTTTCCCAAGTACATCGTCACCGAGCAGCCGTTCACTCGGGATCGCGTGCTGGTGGCCGAGGACGCGGAGGAGCTCGGCCTGGTGTGCATCGCGCAGCGAGCCTGGAACAAGGAGGAGGCCGAGGCCATCGCCAAGGTACTGGCCAAATTTCACGCCGAGGGCATGAGACTGATCAAGGAGGACCCGGAGCTGTCCTGGTTCGATCGCGCCTGCTGCAACGACATGAAGACCGCCGACGGCATCTCCAGTCGAGACTTCGAGGAGTGAGTAATAATTCGTCGATTTTGAAAACGCGATAATTCGTTTTAAACGCGCGACTTCTTTTTCCAGATTCGCGAACGAGGTGCTGAGCGAGATGAAGAGCACCAACAAACCCGCCGCGGAGATCGAGGCGTTCGAGCGCTTCATGAGCGAGATCCCGGGCTGGAAGCCGTCCGGCAAGCCGGAGCTGCGCACCATCGTCCAGGGCAGCGTGCTGCGCAAGAAGGTCGCCCTCAAGCAGACGTTCGGCCAGCACGGCATGAGATTCGTCGACTGGACGGAGATCGAGTTGTACGGCTCGTGCGCCCTCGACCTGTCGCTGCTGCTCTTCCAGACGCCCTGCGAGGGCTTCGACGAGGTCCTCGACGCCTACTGCGACACGCTGCGCGCCCAAGCGCCCGAGGTGCCCATCGAGGATCTCAAGGACGAGGTGCACACGATCGGTTTCGTGTACGCGATGTACAAGAATTTCCGCGAGAGCAGGACGCCCTCGTTCAGGGTGCTCGAGAAGTTTCTGTCCGATGAGAAATTCTGAAAAAAAAACGCGCGATGGCCCGCGACGTATAATTATAAGCTGATGAGAAACGAATTTTCGTTGAATTAATGTATATGCCAATGACGAAGCTGTTTTCTCTTGCTATTATTTTTGTTTTTTTTTTAGAGAGAAAATAATATTTATGTAAATACGTTATGAATTTTCACATTATTTTTACGATTGAATCAAATAAATTTTTCGAAAAACGTCATTGCGATTGAGAAGTACGATCAATGATTTAACTTGCAGATTTCTTTGTTTTTTTGTCGAGTCGCGTCGGCGCTCGATGCATTTCGAACGCGCCAAAAGCGCGCGCGATCCGATTTGCTCTTTCTCTACATTATTCAAAATGGCGATGCCCAACCACTGGGAAAACAAAAACAAATCGTATCAACAATCATGGACGGTGATGTGTAAAAATGAACGAAATTGAAATTTCTGTTAAAACTCGATGAGTCTGGCTAAGACCAATAGTGAAAAGAACAGCATTAAAGTATTATGCAATTATAAAAAGCTGAGATTTGGTGGAAGCTGAAGCTTCGATACAAGAGAAACTCAAGGACTCAGTTACATTTTCTATAAACTGTTTGTTAATTACTAAGATAAATCTTGAGACACCTAAACCTTCCGCTTGGATAATTAAGCTGTATACTAGTCCCAATGACAGATTTTCTTAGTGTTGCAAAGTCTGGAACGACAGAAGAATCACAAGAAAGTTGTGTTAAATGAAAGATATTATATCATAAAATAATTATAGAAAGATGCTCCATATTGACAATGCTTTTATGAAAATTAAATCTTTTTTTTTTAATTTATTACAAAGCAGACAGTGTTATTTTTCTCATAAGTGTTGCTCAAGTTTTAAAGTTCTGTTCAAAGCTGCTGAATCTGTGCAATATCTGTGTACTACTTCTAAATGTTTGAGAGAATCATTTGAAAAGTAAAGTATTGAATTCACATTGCTGTTGGACAATAGAACAAAAAAGAATCCTTTAAGTACACTAAACGACACTTGTGAAGATTTTAAAAATGACAATAAAATTGAAAATGAAGTGAATGACGAATGAATGTACAGTGCTGAAATTGCTAAAGCAAAGAGAAGAAAAATCAAATTTTTTATACCAAGATTGCAATTAAAAGTGAATCAGGTGTATATACTTGCTCCAATTAAAACTTTTGTTACTGGTGAAGTTAAAACAAAAGCTATATTTATTTTTGGACAAGTGTGATTTAAACAAATATTACTCTCTAAAATTGGAGAGGCTAATTTCACTTTACGTACTATCACCATTACATGTCCTCGTGACAGAAGATCACATTTTCCCTTTAGTTTGAAAAAGTTCTAGATAAAAAAGATGATTCTGTAATCCTAATTTAAAATAAATACAAAACTTCAAAAGTTTGACACGATAAGAATCACTTTTACAAATTAACTTGAAATGATCTTCAGTTATAGTTTTATAGACTTTAAAAAATGGGCTGACCTATTGGTAAGTTGCAATCCTCAAAGATTTTCAAATTCTATCCTTATATTAAGCAATAAAAAAAGTTTTAGCTAAATGTTAATAATTTGCAAGGCTGTGGTTTTAATACTAAACTTTGCATACAATGACATCACTGCCCATAGACAATTGGTATAAAATACAGTACGAAATGACATCGACGATGACATTTTGTTTTTACGATGTACACGGCAAAGCGTGTAAAAACGTGTAATCACGTGATAACTCATTGATAAGGCCTAATAAGCACGATTGTTTCATCGCTTGCAGCTGATCTAATCGGTGCGTCAATTTCACGAGCAAACAAAAATTTTGAAATAGGACTTTCTCGACAACGTGACGTCAGTCTAATTTCTAATTGAAACTGCCGCACCGATCGCTAGCATCGGCTCGCTGGTAGCCGCGGCCGAAATATAACGAACTGCGTAGCCGGCGACATGTGGCGAGTGTCGAGTTACACGCAGTAGCAGACGAACCCGCATAACGTATTTACAAAGCACACGTGACAGTACGCGCAATCCTATTATTATTTATAAATGTCGAAGATGTCGAGCGACGGTTTCAAAAAGGTGAACAAGGACGAGCTCAAGACTCGCCTGAGCGAGGAGCAGTGGCGCGTCACCCAGGAGAAGGCCACCGAGGCGCCCTTCACGGGCGTCTACGACAAGCACTTCGAGGCCGGCGTCTATCTCTGCGTCTGCTGCGAGCAGGAGCTCTTCGAGTCCGAGACCAAGTTCGACGCGGGCTGCGGCTGGCCGGCCTTCAACGAGGTGCTGGCCCGCGAGCGGGTGCGCCTCGTGCGCGACGAGAGCCGCGACCAGGTCAGGACCGAGGTCGTGTGCGCGCGCTGCGACGCCCATCTCGGCCACGTGTTCAACGACGGCCCGCCGCCCAAGAGGAAGCGATTCTGCATCAACTCGGCCTCGATCGTCTTTCGATCCGTCGAGGAGCGCCAGGCCAAGGCTGCTCGGCAAGCGTCCAAGGAATAGAGAGGTGCGGAGCGTGCGATATTGTTGACACTGTTTATTGGAAAATGTATATTTAAGCAATTGTAGTGCGATATCGTAGTGAGTTTGTATAAGTGTTATGGAGATTAATTCTTGAATATAACGTTCAGGTGACGTTTGTTAACTGTCAGTGGCTCAACGACAGCTATACATTTGATAAGATTGTCATCGCTTGTAACGAAAATTGTACATTCCATAAGATGAAAATGAATATTGTATATTATAAGTAAATAACAAAGTATGTTTTGAATAAACTTTTTTTCATAATAATCAAATGCTTAGCCTCACTTGTGTTAAATATAACAGAAATATTCATATACCTATAAACAAGCCATATCATACAAAAATAGTTATTATTGATTCTAAAAACTAAATTTACAAATACAAAACTGTGTACTTCAAAATTCTCAAAATAAGAGATATACACTCACATATTCATAATAATTTTTCTATTCGTAGCTTTCCATAATTGATTCAATACAAGTATTTAGTTGACCCAAATAATATTATTAATACATGAACTATATAATGAAATAATTTATAATTCCATTTTATAAATATTATATAAAAGGACATTGACATATAAATAGTCCCAAAATTTGATTCCTTTAAGTTCATTCGTGATGAATTCACAGAAGCTCAAAATAGGATTTTTATTTTCTAATCGATAATATGCTACTATAGCATGATGATAAGAAAATATTTTAATACTAAGTGATGATGAAGAACTTTTTAAAATCAATCTATAATATGTTTCATAAACTTTATCATCTCTAAGCCAATATTAGAATAGGCTTTTTCAAAGATCAAAATGTCATTTTTTTCAACGGATGGCTTCATACAGACATTAGGGTAGCATTTAGAAGATACCAAATATTTATACAAGATTAATTATAAATATGAGCTATGATTAGATGGGTGTAGGTAATTCATAAAATCTTCAATGAAGATTTTCTTAACTTTTTACAGAAAGTGTCCATACACCAAAAAGAATAAATTGTATACCAATTAGAATACAACTACACAACAGTACAAAACATCACAATATCAAAGTTTTCTCTATCTCTTCATTTTCTAAATCACGAATATCTCCTCATAATAGTCTGCTTGCTAATGAACTTTCCCATATAGAGAGCAATGTGAAGATCTTGAGCCAAATTGTGGAATGAATATTAAGATTCTGTATAATTTATAATTTATAATATAGGATAAATTGACTCGGTATCACAGGGAGTTAAAAAACCGCTGTCAATTTATTGGCAAAGTGCTTCCTCATAAAAAATTATGTTAATCAAAGGGTTTGGTTATTAAAGGGAAAATTCGTATTTCATTTTTAAATTTTGATTATTTTATTAATTGAAACAAAAAGACTTCCTCCCCCGAAGGGAAGGTACATTTGCACATTATTACATTCTATAATATACTATACATATTTTTAGGCATAATCTTTTGTTACACTGATTGCTATGGTCAATACGATACATTTGTCTTTATAGATAAAACACAAATATTGTCAATAGATTCGTCAAAATATAGAGAAAACAAACACACATACAGACCTTTGTTGGTAATTCAATGTAGTTTCCGAATATGTAAACCAAATTGTCCTGCGACGTCTGGTTCAAAATCTCATTTTCAAGCCTATCACATAACTTCCTCTATGTATGAGGAGGCAAAAATGACTATCGATAAAGGGTCTTCAAATTTTAACCTCATATTATAGACCGTGCTTTTTGTATAGGTGAGAAATTTCAGGAACTTGAACCAAACCATTTCCGAATTATAATTAATCAAAAAGTTAATGAAAAAACATTGCAAAAATAAAAATTTAAACTTTTTGACTTTTTGAAATTTTCTCTAAAATCTATTTTTCACGAACTATAAACTATTCAAATTTAAACAATTTCAAGCAATGAATATTTGCGATTTTTTATCTCATTAAGTATTAACTCTACGAAAAATAAAAAAAAAACATAAAAGTCTTAGAATTTGTCAAGCGTATGAATTTTTTCAGATTTTTTCAAGACATATGCCTCTATTCGTAGGTCAGGTTCTGAGGGAAATACCTTAAGCTGGACCCAATAATCCTTCCAAGCATCTGAAAGATTTCATTCATGGCTGGGGAAAGACAAATCCATTTGAAAAGCTTGCGACAGTAATAAATAAAAGATAATGGCGAATAATTTTTTTTGAGAATCAGAAGTTCAATATGATTCAACTTTTCGCTAAGTAAAGGAATTTGACTATTTTTATTATAATTTTAAGTTGAGTAAATAAATTCAAATGGTTTCAAAATATTTCATTGAGAAACACATTTAAATTGAACTTCGATAACTTTATACTAAATTATATAGTTCAATAATCTCATTTCTCATTTTAATATATTACATGAAAACAATGATTTTTCATAATGAAATTTCATAATTTTTATATTAAAACTAAATTTTTATATTTCTTTTGTGCATATTTTGAATCTTCAAAGTAAGGATTACCACAATATGATTCTAATTATATTCATGCGAAATATTTTTCAGCGCGAAAAAAATTTATTCAGCTAGTCAAAACTTTCTTGTCACTGCGTTTGAACAAGGTACTGTTTTGGTGCCGCGCTCGAATTAGATAACTTTTTGCCTCTGCGCGCGAGTAAGTATACTTTGATCTCAAATACTCGATACTTCGTTATAAAAACTATCGCATTGGTAAAAATCGTGTACTTAAAAGTATCGCTCAAATTATCGGATTCTCAATAAGAAAGTTTCGATTTAAATTTCGAAACGATTGCTGCGCACTGCGACGCTTGCATTGCAGCAGTCCTCACGCAGTCGCAGTTGATCCAATTTTTTTTTGGTGAAAGTAGCTGACACAAGTACGCAACTACAGCTCTAAAGTACGTAGCGTCACACGTATCTCAGTCGTGTTTTTTCTCTCCCGGTGTGCGTTCGCTGGTGCCGGCTCCGACACTGTCAATTATACGACCACTTGATCGTACAGCCGAGCCACGTGTTTTTTACTCGTTTCATAAAGTGTGCAACATACGTATCGTCGCGCTTCAGTGCACATTACGACGTCGCAGCGACTGCAATAAGTGATTTAAAAGTAAAAAGTATCCGTGAAAAATCTGTGCGTGTGGGAAAACGCGAAAAACGATGTTTACGCTCAAGGACCAACAAATGTTAGAAAAATTGATAGACTTACGGAAAGAAGTTAATTTGAACAACGAAGAAGAGCGATATAATTATCTTTGTAACTTCTATAGAATAATTCATAATATGAATGCATTTCCTACCAATTTGGTTGAGCTCTTGTTGCACCCGAAAGAGATCGAATGTCTTCTCTGGGACTCCATGAATTACAAGGACAAAGAGCTCGGTTATGAACCAGGCGACCAATTCATTGCGTACGCTAGCGTGTGCTACAAATACGAGCCCGAAGTTGATGAGAATGGAATTATATCGCCACGTCGCACGACATTAATACACCATGCGGTTAAAAACACCAAACAAATCGGCCGTGACTGGAGACAACTGTTCATTGCCCTTTTTGATATATGCGGCAGGTTTGATGTGAATTACACCGACGAGTCAGGCTACACACACTTTCACGCGGCCTGTCGGTTTAACTGCAGCAGAGTCGTCCAAGGATTCCTCGAGCACGGACAAGATCCCAATTGTATCTGGCCAGAAACGGGTGATTCAGCACTACACATTGCTTTAAAATACGCAGGATTGGGCAGTGATATAATGGAGATACTGCTGAGAGGAGGAGCCAATCCTAATGTAGCCAACAACGAGGGATCAACTCCTTTGCATATTATTTGTCAAAGAGATATATATCGTTGCGATGAATTTGTGAAATTTTTTTTCAAAATCAATGGCGAATTGAATCAGCTGGTTCAGATTAACGCGCGTGATAAGTTGGGCGATACACCGCTTCACGTGGCTTTGGAGAAAGGCCAACCGGAAGTGTTCGAGGTGCTGCTAAGAAACGGAGCCAATCCTAACTTAGCCAACGTCGAGGGATTAACTCCTTTGCATATTATTTCCAAGAAAGACAACGATGACGGCTTGATGGAGAGATTTTTTGAGGTAATTGGTGACGTCCAGAAGACGGTGAAGGTCGATGCCCGCGATAATTTGGGTAGGACACCCCTTCAATTGGCAGCGATGCACTGCTTGCCCTACGCAGTCGAGAGTTTGCTGAATCATGGCGCCGATCAGTCCAACTTCGTATTTCCCACTATTAGTCAATTAGACGAGTGCTTCGAGTCCTACGAAGATATTCGAGGTAAATTTCTATTCGCATCTGGCTTTCTAGCCGTCGTCGAGTGCCTAGAGAAAAGAGGATACGAGCTGGAATCAAGAGACGCCCTGATGATTATGATATTATTCCAGCATCACTATTTGTTCCAGGAGTCATGGATTCTTGACGAACTTTTGTGGTACGACGACGACGACGAGGAGCTTGCAAACGAAGCGAGACAGAAAATGTTGAAGTCGGACTTGTCGCTCTACGATCTAATCCATTTACGGCCCCAAGAGGCAGCTAAGCGACTGACGTACTTAGACTACTACGAGTTTGGGAGACAGAAAAATGTATGGTGGATCCGTTCCAAAATGCCAGCAGCAAAGCACGCTCGTTTCGGACACTTGTGCGAGACGATGTCGAGAAAATTTTTCCGGAGTTGGGCGCTGGATCCCTTCTGGAAACTGATACACTACCGGCTGCCCCTTGAGTGCTGTGAACTCGTCCTTGACGAGCTGATGAACCAAGATTTATTTAACATTTTCGTGGCGGGTGGATTTGAAAGGAAATGTAATATCGAATATGTAATAAAACTCGTTGGAGCTGGAAGGGCTCTAAAAACGGTAAAAATTGAATGGTGAAATAATCAATGTAAAAGGAGAGAAAAGTATGATGATGTGTAGGATATTTGCTTGGCGGTGGCAGGCCAAAGCTCGTAAAGTTAATAAGCATATTTTCAATTTTTGTGTCACATTTATTTTTATTCAATTATGCAAACTCTTCATGGCATTCAAATAAATAAATTAACAAAAAATTACTGTTTTATTTTTCTGCCAACTCAGCAGGTCAAAATTTTTTGCACCATCTCTTATCTCAAAATTAATTGCACGAATTAGCTGGCATAAAGGACGATGTCATTCAGAATTACGATGTATACATTTATTTTTCTATATTGTTTCTTTGGTTTTTTAAATTCTAATCTCAACTATAAATAGATATACAGTTATACAATTGAAGTTTCATTAAAATTATATTTACTTATTCTTAGTGTATGATTTGCAATAAAATTTTATTTAATTTCGTTGTTACGATGTAATTAATCGCTGTTTACAGATTCTTTCACGATAATACATTCGAGCAGGAGTTCATAACATAAACTTATGTTTATTTATAGATTTTTATATAATTATTTTAGTAATTGTGTGATTATATCGTTATTGTAAAATTAAATTAAATGAACTTTTTAATAAATTATAAAATTAACTAAAATAAAATTAAAAAAATATAATTAGCCCATAAAACTAAAAATTATTGTGTTATTAAAATAAATGTTACAATTATGATTCAACCTGAATAATGCGCATTTTGAATTGGAATACACATTTTATGGGCCAGTTAAAAATATATGTTAAAAATACAACGCGTAATTTACATTGAACGTCTTACACTTAATTCGAACGTACTTTACACAAGCATCTAAGATTCAACATTTCAACTTCTCCGCTGGAAGATTTTATTATTCCATCGGTACCGTCAATTGCCAAAAGTGTACCCGTCGAGTCGCGGTTTCCCCCCAAAATCACACGGATGCGATCATTTCGCGACGGCACAACAGGCTCGATTGCATCGTAATACATATTAACGGATTTGTCTTTGAAGGGTAAATACATGGTCACCATAGCGTCCGTAATAGCAGTGATATATCCCTGCTGTCCGGCCAATCCTTTGTCAGAGTAGTCGTCGCGCACGCGGACCTCGAGATCGACCGACGGCCAATCAGAAGTGTAGGAGACAAAGGCCTGATTCGAGTCGCCCATGCTGGATCCGGGCGTTTGCGGATTGTACGGGCTAGCCGCTCCACCAGGTGTCATTGGACTGAAGCTCATCGGCGAGGCAGAAGTATAAAACGGGGCTACGGTGGGGATGTAGCCTGTTCCAGCCGGTGACGGTGTGCTGGTGCTGTAGGCTGCCTGGCTCGGGCTAGGATTGGCGCTAGCAGCAGGACTAGGGCTAGTTTGATAGGGTCCGAAGCTTTGCTCACTGCCGTACATGGTTCCAGGTTTCTGGGGTGTGAAAGGTCCTGACTGCGGATAGTTGGGAACGTAGCCCGGTGACGCTCCACCGTCATCCATGCTGTAGTTGTCGAAGTTCTCGTCGCGAGCCGTGGTGTTGGTGACGGTCGGATCCCAGGCGCCGGTACGACCGGGGGTGCGTGATCCGTCGTCGTGCGAGGGCGTCATCGAGCCGTAATGAGGTGTACGCGAGCCAGTCTCGTACATAGGGGTGGCTCCTCCGTGCATGGGAGTTTTGTTGCCCCCGGAGTACATTGGCGTTTGTCCACCTGCACCGTAGGACGGGGTACGGCTGTAGCTGCTGAAGCCGCCCTCCTTCGTTGGTACTCCAACATTGGCAATATGAGAACCGATGAGGTCGCGATCGCGACGAGCACCGATGTGTCCGCCACGACCTCGTCCGCCTCTGCCGCCTCTACCGCGAGCGCCGGGAGTCGATCCACCGCCGCTAGCTGCAGGATGCATGGGCGACGTGATTCTGGGTGACATGAAGCCACAGGTGACCTGCGCCGAGGAAACGACATTGTTCCGTTTGCCTCCGCCGGCCAGTTGCAGATGGCAGGTTTTACATACAAATATACCACCGTTATCGATGAACATTCTTGAGTGCAGGAACGCGAAACTTCTATACAGATGCTTGATTTCGCCGCCTCTCCCGGAATGGGGTCCGTCGACCACTTTGACGATGTCTTTCTTGTGGATGCTGTTTTGTTGCGAATCCAACGCAACTGTATTTCGGTTCTCCTTTCTCTTGGTAAGACCTTGCGGTCTGGCTTCGACGACTTTTCCGTGCATCGACAAGATGTGAAAGTTTTCGCGCTCCAAGCGTACGATCACGCCGACGGTTTGTGGATCTAGTTGTACGAGATCGCCCCACTGGAATTGACCTAAACTGTCCACGCCGGTGGCCATGTCGGAGCACAGCTGAAGATCTCTGGGTAAGACCTCGAGCTCGTGCATGGACAAATCGGAAAATAGCACGACTCGATTCGGCTCAACTTGCAGGACAAAACCGGTGTCTCCTTCGTATCGACCTGCTACAACTTTAACGTGATCGCCCATGGTGAAGGATTTTTTTAATTCATATTCGGTGAACATCAAGGCTTCCGTGAGCTCCTCATGCTTCGGCATGACCGTGATCGTGTTTCCATCGACGGATACGACTTTACCTTGTAAATTCATCAATTCACCCTCCTTAACTTCGACGTTATCACCGGCGCTGAAACTGTGACCCGATGCTCCTGCACCTTCATCTTTACCAGACGATACACCAGTAACTGGAGCTCCACTAAGTTCTAAGTCGACACCCTCAGGGGTTTCTTCAAACTTTTCAAGTTCTGATAGAGTGGGTTTTATACCTTCTGTGAGCACTGCACTCATTGTAAAATTTTTGTACAAAAATCCCTTGCGACTGTATCGGCTCTCTTCGAAAATTAAAAAATCATCGTCACTTGTAACTTCACCACCGATAGATCGGATGGCTTCTGGATCAAATGGTTTTGCAGCAGGTCTTTTTTTCTTGTTCCTTTTCATTGCTTCACTTTCACTTTGAGCTGTTCTTAGAGCACCTCTGGGTCTGGTGTAATCGATTCTCGGTAGTAATTTAAGATGTACTTGATTTTGAGACAAATCCACATAATCAATTTGGGCAATGTCGTCTTTGTAAATGCCTCTCTTAAGCCTAACCCACTGTTTTGCTTTAAGTCCAGTTTGCTCTTTTATAACACGTAAAACATCAGTCATTTCTTTTATTGGAACCATTTGCTGTTTCCAATGCCCCATTCGTAAATTTCCAACATTTTCTATGGCAGCTTTTACGTGAGGTTGTTTGTAAGCTTCTATGTAAACATATCCTTTTACACCATCTGGTGCCACTACAGACTTAATTTGAATAGGTTCGCCTGCAAAAAAAGTAGTCATTAGTAACTCTTTCATCTCATTTTTCTCATCTTTTAAAACATTCATGAAGTTTGTACAAATTTATATACTCACTTGTAAACTGACGAGTTAAACATTTTCTCATCAGAAGCAGAGCTGTTGCTCTTTCTTCTCCAATACGACATTTCACCATCCATAAATTTGGATCTGTAAATTGTGGCAATAACGATAACTGTGGTGAAGTTGTATCACTCACTTTCGGTCCTTCTTGATATTTATTTTCTAATTGACGAACCCATTCACTTACGTCCCCATCTGAAAAATGATTAATGTTTCGTTTTTCCTCTATCAGGTTTATTTCCTCGTTTATGTAATCCTTTGTTTTTTTATCTTTTTGGATTACTTCAACTATTTTTTTTAGTTTTTTGCCTTCATCATGCTTCACATTGTTTTTGTTTTCATTTATGTTTGATGGAATGGGTACTACACATTCGGCAAATCTAACAATGAAAAAAATATGTATCATTAAAATCTACTCTGACCCATCTTTTTCACAAATTCTAGATTGTACTGATTGCAATTAACCCATTAACGCGCAAAAGTGCAATTTTGTGAATGAATTTTCTATTGTAAAAAAATAATAGATAAAGTTGAAATATTTTCTTGAAAATCCATACCCGGGGGTTTTTGGGTATGCTCTTTCAGAATCTGATATTATTTTGGCGAAACATAAACATTATCATTGTTTATTTTGCAATTAAAAAAAAACGTGATTTTTTGACTTAAAATTTTTTTTCAAAGTTTTTTTTCTGAACCTTCAAAAAACGCGCTGCCGCGATTTCTATCTAGCCCATATATTTCTAAAATGGCGAATTTATACCGAGCAACGATTAAAAAATTCCCCCATTTTTTACTCGGAAATTATTGACTTAAAAAAGTCATACAATGAAAAGTGTTAAAATTTGTTCAAAGAATACATGTGAATCTTTTCAGAATTTTTTGGGAACATTTTGAACTTTTTCGACAGGTCAGGAAATGGTCGTATTTTGCAAAATTTTCTACGTAATCTGAAAAATTCTCAAAAATTCACACGTATTCTCTGAACGATTTCAAATACATTTTTACACTCCAAATCGTACTTTTTAGTTGATATTTAACGAATGTGAAATAATTTCCGAGTAAAAAATGGGGGAATTTTTTAATCGCTGCTCGGTATAAATTCGCCATTTTAGAAATATATGGGCTAGATAGAAATCGCGGCAGCGCGTTTTTTGAAGGTTCAAAGAAAAAGTGCACGATTACTGGTGTTATGGGAACCCTCCGAAGGCAGGGCAAGGTAGAAAATCGACTTTGAAAAAAAATTTTAAGTCAAAAAAACACGTTTTTTTTTAATTGTAAAATAAACAATGATAATGTTTATGTTTCGCCAAATGTTTTTTGCAATACGAGTCAAAAACATAAACCTCGTTCGAATATTTTACTTGATCTGCTTGTGCTGTTGGAAGGGTGAAAAAATCAAAAGAAAAGTGATTAAAATATAGGGTAAGCGGGGGTATTACTGCGCAGCACCTATTACTGCGCATTGCAGAAAATGATTGTTTATGACAATTGTATTGTAAATTAATGAGTAATAATGATTTTAAATAATAGATATTGTCCTCCCACAATATTAATAAAAAAAAAATTAACATTAAAACATCAATTTATTAATGTAATATCGATTTGAAATTTAACACCTCAATTGAGCTATTTTTTACGAAAGAAATTGCCGATAACACCCATAGAAAAGTACTTGTAACTTTTTACGTATCTGACAATTTGGTTTGCAAATATCATTTTTACTTACTTAGTATATCTATTTTATTAATACGTCGATATTAGTTTGATTAGTTATATTTTTCTACAATAAATTTGAAAAATAAATTTAGTTACGTATTTTGAACCGATGTATCAATTACTGCGCACTGTATGTACCTATTACTGCGCATATATATAAAGCATTTCATTACAAGTGTCTGCGCGGCCCAATTAAGCGAAATCACTCAGATTCCAACTCACGTAAAAAGTATCGAAATGCACCTAGAAGAACAAGGGGACCCATCATTTCGATGGGAAATTACCTCAGCTTTCCGATGGTGTGGTCAGATTTTCCGAAATTTTCCATTTTCATCCGGAAAAATTGACATTAAGTTTAAAATACAAATATCTTAAAAAGCCCATTTTTAAGATTTTTTTAAATAGTCGCAATCGATAGCTGAGGAAATTTCCTATCAATATGCAAGTTTTCAAAGTGTGAAAATGATTATTACTTGATAAATACTTAGTAAATACATAGTAATCACGGAAAATTCAGTGCGCAGTAATAGACACATGCCCGCGCAGTAATACCTACACCCGCGCAGTAATTGGTGCATCGGTTTTTTTTACAATTAATTATTTTTTGAATAATTTTATCTCATAAACCCCAAAAAAAAACGTTTTTTATGCTTTAACGAAGCTCTTACCTGTTAGAAAAATGATTACCGATATCAAAATAATTTTTATTTTTTGTTAAATCTACTTCAGAATCCGAGGTGCGAAAGGTGCGCAGTAATACCCCCCTTTACCCTATATGAGTAAGGCTTAGAATTTTTTAAATAAACCTGCGCTCGTATGTCACCGATCTTGACGCGCTTTTGGAATGTTATAGTACATGGTAAAAAGGTCCCAAAACCAAAATTTTAGACCCCCTCCCCCCTCCTACCCCCCTCCACCCCTATAAACGTCCATTACTTTTCCACAATCCAAACAACCTCGAATTTTTTCAGATTTTTTGAGTGCTTCAGGCCTTCAGAAAAAATCATTGAAAATTTTGAAAATTCATGTAAGGCGCTACCATGCAATACAAAGCCCGATCTTTTTTTTCACTCATTTTTGGCATCAAAATACATTCGAGGTTGTTTGGATTGTGGAAAAGTATTTTCGTGAATTTTTTCAGATTTTTTAATTGCTTCAGGCCTTCAGAAAAAATATAGATCGAAAATGGACGTTTATAGGGGTGGAGGGGGGTAGGAGGGGGAAGGGGTCTAAAATTTTGGTTTTGGGACCTTTTCACCATGTACTATAACATACCAAAAGCGCGTCAAGATCGGTGACATACGAGCGCAGGTTTATTTAAAAAATTCTGAGCCTTACCCATATATAAGTCTTTATTAATAAGTATAGATTTCAATATTATAATATCAATAATTTAATATGGCAGTCTAAGGCGACTCAATCAAAAAATAATTAATAATTGCTTTAAGTTCAGAAAATTAACAAAAAAAAATATCTTTGTCTTACCACAATAACTTTTACAACTTTTATAAGTTATGTGGCAGACTCTCTTTAATGACAATAAACTTCTATTGTCGGACCTGCCGATTATATACAATTGTCTTGGACTCTTCGAATCCTCAAATTGTTTACAACAAAAAACAGCGCTAAGTAGAGTTGGTCACTCCTATGACGAGCGACGGCGACCAAAGCTACTGCTTCGCAACCGTCTTTCTCTCCAAATAGCACGGCGACCTAGGGTAAACCCACGACCGGCTATTCGTCGAGCTTCGTGGCGACCTGTGATGGCTCACCGACCACTACTCGCTCATATGAGTGTCAACTCTGCTTCTTAGAAGCTGTTGCATCAATCGATCACACGGTAGGAGACGCCTGCCTATATACGCTTACCAGCGCTCGGTCACTTATGGGAGCGTCGCTCGCAGGCAGGCGCCACCTAGTGGTGTGAAACGTAACCACCAAAATAATATCAGATTCTGAAAGAGCATACCCTAAAAACCCCCGGGTATCGATTTTCATGAAAATATTTCAACTTTATCTATTATTTTTTTACAATAGAAAATTCATTCACAAAATTGCACCTGTGCTCGTTAATGGGTTAAAATAAGCTTCAATGTCAGTTTTTTTGAAAATTTCATAAGAACATTTATGTTCTTCAGATAATTATAAAGTTTTGATCTTAACCCTTTAACGCCTGAAATGACCATTTTCGGACAATATTTGTAGCGATAAATTACACCGACTAAAAATTGTTTTAAAAACTCTTCAGATATCATTTCTAACGTAAAGTTTAAGGTACTTTTCGAATCTGGGGTCGGAATTTTCAAAAATTTATTTAATCAAAAGTCATAAGCAATTTTGTAAAAAATAACATGAAATTTCGAGAAAAAAATCTTGTTCAACTCAAATTTCAACAGGGAAAGAAGGTTTCTTCGCGCGTTTCACGCATATAGATTTGGTCAATGGCATGTATACTTAATTGTAAAATAGTTATAATTATGAAATTCAATATGGCGATCATAAATATGACTCACGAAGACCTGTACGTCATAAAATAATTTCGACAATTTTCAACTCGAAAACCATCAACTTTACGAGAAAAAGTTGTAGAATAAAAAGTGTTTAGAATTGATCAAAGAATACGCCTGATTTTTCTCAGAATTTTTGGAACGTTTTTTGGATTTCTAGATAACACCATTTTTTCAAAAATCTGGCGTGTTCAAAAATAAAAAACCAGGCGTATTCTTGTACGTCATAAAATAATTTCGACAATTTTCAACTCGAAAACCATCAACTTTACGAGAAAAAGTTGTAGAATAAAAAGTGTTTAGAATTGATCAAAGAATACGCCTGATTTTTCTCAGAATTTTTGGAACGTTTTTTGGATTTCTAGATAACACCATTTTTTCAAAAATCTGGCGTGTTCAAAAATAAAAAACCAGGCGTATTCTTTGATCAATTCTAAACATTTTTTATTCGACAACTTTTTCTCGTAAAGTTGATAGTTTTCGAGTTGAAAATTGTCGAAATTATTTTATGACGTACAGGTCTTCGTGAGTCATATTTATGATCGCCATATTGAATTTCATAATTATAACTATTTTACAATTAAGTATACATGTCATTGATCAAGTCTATGTGCGTGAAACGCGCGAAGAAACTTTCTTTCCGTGTTGAAATTTAAGTTGAACAAGATTTTTTTCTCGAAATTTTATGTTTTTTTTTACAAAATTGATTATGACTTTTGATTAAATGAATTTTTGAAAATTCCGACCCCAGATTCGAAAAGTACATTAAATTTTACGTAAGAAATGATATCTGAAGAGTTTTTCAAACAATTTTTAGTCGGTGTAATTCATCGCTACAAATGTCCGAAAATGGTCATTTCAGGCGTTAAAGGGTGAAAGTCCAATCTCCATCCATTCATCTTAGTTTTCAGTTAGGGGAGAATGGGATGTGTTGGCATGTGAAGTAAGTTAGCCAAATGTTATTTTTCTCTTTATCAATAACTTGAACCAAGATCTCTTTACTATCCTATACTACTCTATACTCCATATCTAGTGATATGGAAAAATATACATTTTTGATAACTTACCTCAAATGCCACAACACACCCGGCTCTCCCCTACCCGGGAAAATTTTTTGTTGAGTACAAATAGGCTTATAGTTTAAAATACCGTTCAATAATATATAATAAGTAGCGAACAGAAATAATACCGATTTTCATCAAGATGTATGTATTTTTCGTCGTATGTCGTCTGGTTATTTTTCAAATCTTGGACTGTTATATTGTGGTTTTCTATTTTCACAATCTTTCCGTAAAATTTTTTTCGTACTTTTGAATTAATGATTTCTAAATCCATCGTTTTTATGCGGACCGTGAAACTGATGTTATGAGGGGCTACGTCAGTTTCCTCATTTCGGTAGGTTATGATGGAGCCAGTGTTATTCTTGAATGGACCCTTCGCTTTGATTTTAACCTCGTCTTTTGGGTCGAAATGTGTGACTATTACGCAATCATTAATGTTAAATTTCCTGTAAACACGAAAATTGCAATTGAATTATTTAAATAATAGTTTATCTGGGCTACGCGAGTGTCGGCTTTGATTCAATTTTTTTTCGAAGTTTTTAATGATTTATTAATTTATAAATTGAATTAATAAAGAGTACCGTATTCTAAGTACGATTATATTAAATAAAAAACCTAAGTAAATATTCGACGTTCTTTACGAAGAGTAACACATTTCAAATTTTTATCGATGTCTAACATGTTTGGAGAAAAAGCTAATATAACGAAAACTAGCACATTTCAATTGTTCACAACGGAAACTAGCACATTTCATGACATCACAAAGACCAGCACGTTTCAAATATTGCAACAAAATGTAGCACGTTTCAAATGTTGAAATAAAAAGTAGCATGCTTTATGTTATGATTCATCATGCATAAGAAGAATTATTTTATTTTTTTGTTGATAAAATTGTGTGAATAACTTGTAAAACTCCCCGTTATATATTCAAATTCATACATAAGGCCGATTCTCTGTGAAGTCGATAATGCAAAACTTTTTTGAAATGGTAAAAAAAAATTTTTTCTACAAATATGAAAAACTTGTTGTTTTCGATGTCAGATTTATTCCGAAAAAATTTAAGAATTTTCATTCGCAATCGCTGAAACGTGCTAGTTTTACTTAAGGAAAATTGAAACGTGCTAGTTTCAGTTAGAAAAAATTGAAAAGGGCTAGTTTTTATCATAAAACTATTATTGTGTGCTAGTCTTTGTTACACATTTGAAATGTGTTACTCTTCGTAAAGAACATCGATATTATCTTTTCAAAAACTGAGATGATTGAGTTTGCATATGGTATGAGCTTTCAAACTTTGTTATGGATTTCCGATGTCACGTCCGCAACGCGACACAATTTTAAAAAAATAATGATCAAATCTAATTTGAGTATAGTTCGCACCCAGATATTAAGAAAATTGAGCATTTTCCCTATATTATAAACCTACACTGAGAAAAAAATATAATAAATATTATTAGAATTCACAGTAAAAATTACTATAATATCTAATAAGGAGGTGACGTCGACACATTTTAGTAATTTTTACTATTTTTCTTCATCCCATGCTCGAAAGTACGTACTTTCATCTTCGAATTCGGGGACGAAAGTAATACTTTTGCTCCCCGTCAATGTCGCGCGAAAGTTATTATCTCCATGACTACGGCAACCTACATTTCAATTATCGTTTGGTTCTGAAAATGTCTCGGCTTCGCCTCGGGTGCAAAACCTCGCAGGGACGGAAGTTCGACTTTCATCCTTTGTCACGTAATATACTATTAATGTAGGAAAAATTTATTCTTTTGAATTCTATCAAAATTTCCCATTTACTACCGTAATCTTCTATATATTACGCGTTGAATGAATCCTACGCTAAAATTCTGGCCTCCCCAACAAATCTGAAAAATCGATGACTAAAAAAAATAATTATTTTATTATTCGCTCGGCTTCGCCTCGGATGATTAATTACACGTGCTCTGAGACTTTCCAGTTTTTCACTCCCTAGGTGCAAAATATACTATTATAACACTGTGCTAACATTGCAAAAATAAATTTGACGATCGACAAATTTCTTGTCGAATGACACACAAAAAGTGTTGTCTTTATTGCCTAAACAGATTGACTAGCGAATGCTAGAGCATTATCCTTGTATTCTAACAAGGAGACCTTCTCACCTTCGGGTCATGGATTTGGCCCAAACTTTTTTTGGTGATTCAGGACAGTTAGAAAACATGCCCTGTTATGTTAGTTTATGTGAATATGCCCCAGAAGCCTGAGATAAAAAAAACCGCTGCCAATTTATTGGCAAAGAGCTTCCTCATAAAAAATAATATTAACAAAAGGCATCGGTTATTAACTTGAAAATTCGTAATTTTAAATTTTGATTCACTGTCTAGTGTCCTAAGTACGTTAGATCACGACCATCAGGATCTACTGATTGACCTACTACATTTCTATGTTAGCTAAAAGGCCGAGAAAACAAAAACTCATACAGACATTTGTTGGTAATTAAATGTAGTTTCCAAATATATAAACCAAATTGTCCTACGAGGTCTGGTTCAAAATCTCGTTTTCAAGCCTATCACAGAGCTCCCTCTATGAGGAAGCAATAAAAACAATGAATTTACTTAAAAATTGAAAATAACCATTGCGAATGAAAAGACATGGTACTTCCTCCTATATGTACAATCATTCTTAATTTTATGTTCGAGTTTTGTTTATGTACCGTATATGAATGCTAATAAAAAACAATAGTCACTTTTTCGGAGAAATTCTATACTTTGAGAGGAAAAAAAACTATATTAATTGTCAATCCAGTGGCTAAAAGTTAAATTAAAAAGGTCGTTTTAATACGTAACAGTTGTTTCATCAAAAGACAAAATTACCTCTTTGATATAATTCAATGATTGTTTTATTTTTGGATAAGGGAATTATAATGACCTTCATATACTAACTGCTGTAGACCAACTATCAAATAAAGTTTTAAAACTTACAGCCAGATCTATGCTTTTAAATACCGTGAAATTCATGAAGGAATTTTATTAAAAAATTTATGCTCTATAGAAAATACCAAAATAACGAGGTCCGAGTGTCATTTATAGTTGACTCAAATAATGAAACATGAATAATTGGAGGCTCAACTAAAAAATTTGTATTATAAAAAGCAACATAGTCGGCCAGTGCACAAACGTATCAAAATCAACATGAGACATAGCCCTAGTTCGCGTACTTTTATGTACTGGGGCGACGATCCATTCATAATATATTAAAAATAAGGCATCAACAATTTCTTTTACTACACTGTTGACGTACATCGAAATAAATATTTCTTTAAATATGCAGAAGGCACGAATTATCGAACGGACTTCAAGATCTTGACAGCGGGCCGACGGAACAAAAATAACTAGTAGTTACTAGATGATTTGTCGCGCAAATAGCAATGCCGTGTAAAAAAAATATTCAGTACTATTTATGCATATAAGAAAAATGCACTCAATGTCCACATTCAAGTTGACAACTCGTTAAGGGTACATGAAACCTATGTTGATTTTGAAGATGTTAACGAATCAACATAATTAATGTTATGTTGTAAATAAAAAAATTAAAGATTACGAACAGTTCCGAGCAGGTACAAGGTGAAATATCCATTTTTCTTTGCTTATGAAGACACCAAGAAACACCAAAATGCAGAAATTTTATACTGTTTACACGACGGCTAGTTCTGGTCGATTCGATTAGTACACAGCGTTTGACTTTTCGAATAATTTGTGTACTTTTATACTTAAACATATGGCTTAATTTTTATGAGCACACATATGGGGCAAATTTCCTGAAGTGTCCTAGCGCTCTGCCGCACGGTACTTTTTGGCAAAATCACTCAATTTCTAACTCGCTGTAAAAGTATCAAAACACACCTCAAAAAAATAACTAACTAATGATTTCGATAGGAAATTTCCTCATGGTGCAGTCGAATTTTCCGATAATTTACTTTTTCATTAGAAAAAGTAGAAAATAGACCTTCAAGTCCATTTTTTTGGTGGAAATGTAAATTATCGGAAAATTCGACTGCACCATGAGAAAGCTGAGAAAATTTCCTATCGAAACTATATGTTTATTCATTTTTCCAGCCAAATCACAATGTCATAAAAGCGAGTTACAAGTTACAGCGAAGCCGCGCAAGGCTGGAAATCAGGCCGAGCGGCCGAGCGCTAACTAAAACCTCCCGTATTTTCCTTAGTTTTCATCAAAAATACACTCTGAAAACTACCATATCCAATGTAAAAAGACCTCATCTTTCGTTTGGAACAATAAAAAAAGGAAAAAAAGTGGCGTTTTTCGAGATATTAAGCTCTGAATGTTTGATGGTAATTTTCCGGGTGAAAATGGAAAATTCCAGGAAATCGGACCTCACCATCGGAAAGCTGAGGAAATTTCCTATCGAAATCATTAGTTAGTTATTTTTTTGAGGTGTGTTTTGATACTTTTACGGCGAGTTAGAAATTGAGTGATTTTGCCAAAAAGTACCGTGCGGCAGAGCGCTAGGACACTTCAGGAAATTTGCCCCATATATGCACACAGACCTACGCGCATAATTGCAAATCCTTGATATACCCGGTAAATCGAAATTTAAACTACTTATACGTTATTAAGGTGGCTCCTCAGCAATCATAACAGTAGTACAGCGAGGCGTCTGTCTGTCTCTTTCTCGTATTGGGCAGACAACCGCTCGCTCTATTCGAAATCAATGATTATACGCCCATTTTGTTTATTTACTCATTAGTTAGTTCAGTAAGGGTACTTTTTAACATACCAAACAAAAGCTTGAAACTTTCTCTTTAATAAAATATATATTTTATTAAGATGGTTGATCTTTTAAATTAGTTATAAACAATAAAAGACAGTATCACATAAGAGCCCGTGTTAAAATTGCCATGTTCAAACTTGTTTATCTCAAAAGTTTGATCGTCAACCGCATGTTTTTTTTGGAATCTCATATAGAGCCTAAATGACTCTATAATGTATAGAGCCTCCATAATCACTTAAAAATTGCTTCGATTGGCGATATTCATGTATGTGCAATATATTGGCAACGTATATGTGCGTTATAACGGCGATATATTGCACATATATGAGCAATTCTTTAAATAAAACGCATTTTTGGAGGTAGAATCGCGGCAAATTTTTTTTCAACCTACTTGGATACGGAACCCCAGGAAATGTTTTTGGGGGTCCTAGAAACACGTAACCACGTAGGAACCATTGAAAGTTCAATAGTGCTAATTTTTATAGCTACTTTTGTGATTTAGAGGACGAAAAATCATGTTTTCTCGTAAATCCGGCTAATCACTCAATTTTTGAGTCGCTAAAAAAGTATGAAAACTCATTTAAAAATAATAACTGACTACTGTGTTCGATAGGAAATTTCTTCAGCTTTCCGATGGTGTTATCAGATTTTCTGCTAAGTCGCACATTC